CGGCATCTGTGAAAATCACACATCGACGTTCAAAAACCGGTTACTTTCAACAATTTCACTCAACTTTCCCGCCCCTCTCTCCCCCCTCCGCGGATCGCGAACGCAACTTTTTTTCCCCCTCCGAACTGAACACGCAGTTCCAACGAAAGATGAATGTTGCCGGAATGTTTGTCGAACGCGTTTGCAACGACGTCGGGGGCGTTTGACCCATTGCGAGTACGTAAACGCGACACAGTGGTGCGTCGGAAATAAATCTGCCGCGTTAAGGGGTTAAGCTCGATAATTCGACGTACCGCGGCTAAACCCCGTAATTGCGTCGAGATTCTTTCTGTTTCGCATTCTGCATCGCGTGACGCTCACGAATGTTTCAACAACGCCGCTGGTATTTAGCGAGTCCACTAGGTTGCTTCGGTTTATTTCTTATTACAACGGCGAGATTAAAATCTGCTGGCTGCCCGAGGCAGCTAGAACGTCCCGTGCCTTGCTTTCGCCTCTCCTTCGCCGACATTAAAATTTTAAATAGCACACGGCCTGGAAAGCACGCTTATAAAATTCTGTTATCGAGAGCTGCAGCGGCTATCTGATATCGGGCTCGGGGGATGCGAGCGAGCGAGCGGCGAAAACGCGGCTTGTAAACTGCTAATATCGAATTAATCGCTCGTCGACGGTTAAAACGTGGCAGGGAAAAAGTGGCCGAGGGTAGGAGCGAAAGGGCGGTTCGCACCGGACGTCGGATCGATGGTACGACCCCCTCGCAAGGGAAGTCGCGAGTAGATGAACGGTTTCGAAGAAAAATCGCGAGTGCAACCTTGATACACTTCTGAGAATTATAGAAGCAGGTTCGGGGACTTTCTCGCAAGTACTCGGTGAATCCTCCGCTTCCCATATATACAAGTTCTTATGCTGTCTAAGTATCCCCCGTCTTAGGTAGGGCCTTACTGACGAGTCCGCTAACAGGCCCAGGACGAAATGCATCCCATCCTCGCGTCCTTCTATTTGTTACCTTATCATAGTACAACGACCAAGGGGATGTCAATTGGCTGCATTGTACAGTTCTCACCACACTGTCATCATCGCAACCCCGTAGAGTGGGAACCCCACAGGCTATTTATCGTTCTGTCTATCGTGCCTCGAAAAGAGAAGTAGAGTCCTCCTAACAGTTTTATCAACGTTATTAGGTTCTTGATTCGGATGACAGTCAAATCGATACCGCACGTTACGAACCAATTTTCGAGGCCCCCTCTCCCCCCGAAAAGCACCTCGTAAATCGTCCATCGTTGTCTGTTAATATACTGCGCACTGCATAGAAATCTCTAAGATATAGGTCAGGGATCGCGCAATTTGACAAGACAGTGCGTTGACATGTAAGGCCTATAACAGATGGCGTGCGAATGTTAATAACGCAACTCGATATCCTCATAGAAAATAATTTCCAATTCGAATTCTCGATCATCAACGATCCTCGTCTTACTCTATCCGAAATTGCTCGCAGAGTGGCCTGTTTCTCGGAATTTCGCTACCGTCCGCTGGATCGAAGCTTCGGTAATTACGTCGAGACGCGTGGTTTGATTAAGCGCGACGGAAAACAACTTACTCGAGGAACTTGTTTAGAATTCGCACACAGCAGAGTTGAGTCGTTCCCGGCGAGCTTGCGGCTGTATGCAGGCGAACGCGAGTCCGGCTCGATGTAACGGAGAATGGAATCGGGGGAACGAGAGCGGTGGGCGTCGCTGGGCGCGGGAGGGTTACAGGGGTGGGTTGAACTCGACCCCTACAAATTACCTCCAATTTCGTGTAAATTCCTCGTTCCTGCGTCAGCATAATACCTGTATTAGGACGGCCAGCTCCGGCTCTTAGGCGGCAATAAATCTGTATTAGGGCGAGACGTTGCTCCTCTTAGCAAAAGGGGTACAACGCCCTAGGGTCTGGCTAATTTTTCACCACCACGTCTCTCGGCCGCGATGGCGCGTCTGCGAGATTGCCCTATATACCACTGGGTCGAAGAACAAGTGGAAGAAGAAGAAGAACAAGTGGAAGCAGTCGTCGCGATGTTTCGTGCTCCTTTCGATCTCGCGAGTCGACTCTGCGCCACGATGGATCGGTCTCCAGCGACCTTTAATTAGAACCGTTCGTTTTATCAGTTTCTGCGTGGAATACAGCGTGGAACCCGGCGTTCGTTAGTCGGCATGGGAAGAAGATAGAGTCTCGTTGGGGGCTGTTGCCGAGGGGAGGGTGGATGGAGGGTCGAAATTTTAGACGACACGATACCCATCTGCTCTCAGCAAGGGTTGGCGACTCTGCTTGCGTCTATCGCGATACGCGACATACGTTATCTCGCCGAGATTGCCGATAAGCCCGAACGTGCCATGCTAACGTACGATTATAATTATAGATGGAAGATACATTTCCATTAGGGGGTTGAACCGTGTATTAAGACCTGCTGGCCTGCGGAAGGAGACGTTGCGTTGCGTCACGGGTTAATTTATCAGTACGTCTGCGTTCGTCGAATATGCTCAACCGACGGTAGATCAAATTATCAGCTTGTAATTTATAAACTTCCCCCTCGGGG